AGTAAACCGTCACCAAATTTGGCGTATTATTTTTAAATGTGATTTAAAATAATCTGTATTTTTTTAATAATTTTGTTATCATTTTGAAAATATAATGTGTAAAACATCCTTAAAAACGCACAGATTTTTTCAATATGATCGTCATGTTACCACGAAGAAGTGAGTTCACACAAAAACAACACCTTGCTGCTGGACCTTCCATTGTTTTTTTGTATGAACTCGCTTCTTCGTGCTAACATCGACGATCATATTACAAAAATCTGTGCGTTTTTAAGATGGTTCTTTAATAAAGTGCCAAAAATTTGGAGTACCTCACCAGGGCTCTCCCAAAATTACAAATATCTGCATAAAATATATATTAAAATTACGTGTATATCTTAATGAAATAGTATAAAACACGATACTTGTTTAAAAGTAGTGTGCAAATATGATGAAATAAAAAAAAATCATTTCTTGTACAATTTGTTCATGTTACAATTTAGCAACGTTGTATTGTTTTTCTTTTTCTTCTTCCCTCTTCGCCCTTTTCGATTCACGCCCTTCACGGATTTTTTGCTATTCCATGTGACAATGAACGAAAACGAGAATAAGAACGTGAATTATAATACAAGTTGTATGCGTTTCGATTGTGTTCCGAAACGCATCCATCTTGAATGAGTAAAGGTACCTTTTCATGCTGACGCTTGACGCTCATTTTCAGCGTCAAAATAGATCATGTGATCAAATTGACGCTAGATATTCGTCAATGTCTATCACGTGACTTATTTTGACGCCGAAAATAAGCGTCGAGCGTCAGCATGAAAAAATACCTTAAAGGCATTTCTGTCGGCCAGTTTACGTTGCAAGCGAAATTTTTATAAAGGGAAATTTATAAAACAGGACTTACGGATTACGGGCTGTATGTGACGGCACCCTAATGCGGGGTCTACAATAGAAGTCGTAGCAGTCGTAGGGTCTTAAGTCGTAAAAAATTGACCAATCACAGTCGAATATAAGAAGAATAATCAACTGTGATTGGTCAATTTTCTACGACTTAAGATCCTACGACTGCTACTTCTATTGTAGACTCCGCAAAATGATGCATCATGCGCTTCATGTGTAATTCAGAACGCACCCTAAATAAAACGTATGCACATGTAGCCATAGAACATAAAAGTGTGACCGCACATGCTTTCATCGCAGTATTTCGCGGCTTTGACCGTTTTCCAAAAGGGAAAATAATCGTCAATTTTAAAGCTGGAAATAGACACAGGCAATAGGCACAGGCAACAGGGAATAACGAACCGTCCAAGAATTCTGGGGTACAAGTTCGATATTATATCCCAGAGCTCTGATTGGGCGGCTCGTTATGCTGGATTCACACTGCATCCG